TATTTAGTGATTTCGTGAGATTATTTTTATTTAAAAAGTTACGATACGGCTCCTCGATTAAACTATCCGATTCTCTTTGAGTGGTACGTGTTTTAGTGCATTAACTCTTCATATTGCGAATTTCCTTTCGATCAAATTTTCTTTGACTAGCGCGACAATATTTATTAATTTTTTTTATATTATTATTCAGTGATTTTGTGATAAGAAATTTTACTGGAAATATTATTTTTAATAATTAAATTTATATATAACAATTACTATAAAAACTTCTTATAATGTAATATAGTCAATTATTTTTTTCCTTTAATTATTATTAGTCGATTTTACTTTCTTTTAATTACTAATTAAATGAACTTGATACGAATTTTTTTAAGACTTATAAGAAGAAGAATAAACTATAAATAAAAATAAAAGATAAAATTTCTATTATAACGTTTATTAGAAATTGTGCCAAGTTCATGTATATTCTCTAAGTAACATCACCAAATAAACCAAAACTTTAACTCGTCCCCTTAAGAGTTCGAACCAGGAGGTATATTTTTAAGTAATTGAGGGTTCGTCCTGATTTTTCGACATTAACCAATCTTGCATAATAAAAAAATCCTGTAACAATGTAAGCCTTGATGTACATCGTTAATTACTATAACCTGAGAGTAATAATGCCTACTATTCATCTTCACAACTGCCAGCCAACTTTAGAAATAGCGAGTGATAGTGTCGCGACTCGGAGACGTGAGTGATAATTCTTTGCACATTTCATCCAAAAATCAAAATGGACAATTCACGTGATGCTGACTTCGCTTTACTATGATTTAATTTAATTATGTCTAGTACTGAGAATAGCACCTGTAAGAAACTTGTTGAGAATATTGCTGATAGCTAGGATGCATAAGGGGAATACAGTGTATAATAATATTAGGAATCACTTTCAATTAAAGCTTCTATAACATTTATTCTTATATCAAATTTTAATTAATAAAATTTTATGTGATTTTATTAAGTCCGAATATTAAAAGTTTTTTGCAAATTTAAAATTTTATAACTTTATAAAATTATTAAAAAAAAAAAAAAAAAAGCAATAATGAATTTGATTTTTCTAATACGTAATATTGAAATATCTTAATTAAAAAAATATAATTTATTTTTGTAAATACATATAATTTATCTCAGAATTTAATTAAGTGATATGTTTTTATTAGTTAAAAACTTTATTTAATAATTTTAAATAAAATCATCATTATTATTATCTTATAATGAAATTTATCTTTTAAAATATATTTATCAAAATAATAAGACAATAGCTATTTATAATATATATTTTTTGTATATTATAATTTATCAAGTCTTTTTGTATTATGTACAATATTTTTTATTTAAATAAAGTTTTTTTTGATTTATTGACTTTTTATTACTATTATTCTAAATACTAATAAATTTATTTTTAATTATTATTATTAAACATTTTTTTATAGTATATTTTTTAATAATAAAAATCTGAATCCGCATGACATCATTGTATTATCACATGACAAGAAATGATTCATATAAATATAAACCGTTTTTGGATTTTGAACGTAATTGTCGCTGATGTGTTATCGCGTTGCACTTTCTCTTGTAATATTTATTCTTTTCATGACAGCAGTTCCATCACGAAAAGAATATTCACAATTATTATCAAATCAAACAAAATGTAGGATCCAGAAGAAATACTTCAAAGTTTAGAAAGAGGAAACTTTAAGTGCGCAGATTGGCTAGACAAAGGAAAATATCGACCTTCGTAAGTAAGGGAAAAATTCGTGCTTCCAAATAGTCTGAATGCCATTTTATTTACTTTTAGCTCAAACGCATTATATTTAGTTATAATGTAGCGCCAAATTCTTATCAACCCGTGATTCGTATCGAACAAGGATCGAAGCAAACGGTTATTCATACCATGGTAATTTAAATAAAAATTTTCTCAAAATAACTCGATTTACATTAAGTGTGTGGATAATATTTTTTTTAACGTTAGAGATGGGGATTAGTTCCTTTCTGGTCAAAGTCAGTTTCTAATACAATGAAAACCGCAAATTGTCGTGACGATTCTTTAACGGGTGGAAAGCCCATGTTTAATTCCATGAAAAATTCTAAACGATGTATCGTTATCGCGCAAGGGTAAGAATTAGGTTTTCGTACTTCTGATGCGGATATATTAATTGACCAATTTCTCTCGTTTTAGGTTTTTTGAATGGCTTCACAAAGGAAAACAAAAAATCCCTCACTTTGTTAAAAGAAAGGATGGTGAATTACTATTTTTTGCAGGACTCTACGATTCTGTCAGAATAGAAGGTAATTAATTATTGTTATCTCAATATCTTAAAATTCTATAATAATAGTTACAATAACGTACAGGTCAAGAGGATCCACTTTATACATACACTATTATCACCACAACTCCCTCCAACTTTATCTCTCTTTTGCACAATCGTATGCCCGTGATTTTCGAGAGAGGGTCAGATGCCGTTGCAAGATGGCTGAATCCTGATATGAAGTGGAACCCAGAATTGGCATCATTATTAAAACCTTATGAGGGAGAATTAACATGGTTTCTATCTTACCTCTCATAATTCAGTAATTATAAATGAAATCTCATTTTATTCTATAAAAACACGTTTTTTTTTTATAAAGTTATAGAGTGCCTCAAGAAGTTGGTAAGGTTGGAAATGATTCCCCAAGCTTCATTGTTCCCATTTCGACAAATGATCCATCCATCTCAACGCGGGAAACAGAAAAAATAAAGAAAGAAGATAAAGGAAACACGCTTATATCGAAATTTTTACAAGCAAACATAAAAGAGGAACAAGATGAGGAAAAGTCTATGTCGGAATTTTTGCGATATAATGTAAAGGATGAACAAGATGACAAAAAATTGGTTAAGTCTGAGATTGATTCGATGATTCCCATGAAACGTTCACGAGAGGATACGGATAACGAATGTAAACCGTCATTACAAAAACTTGAAGATCTCGTGAAAGAAGAAAAATTATCTTCAGATGAGACAATTCCTAAAAAAAAGATGCGACAAGAAAAAGAACTTCGCTCATCTCCAAAAAAGTCGTCAAAACCTAAAAGGGAATCATCGGTTGTGACCAAAGCGAAACCTCGCCCAAAAAGTAAATCCTTGAGATCTCCAACAAAGAAAGAATCGACTTCTGATACCCCTGCAAAGAGTACGACACAGGCAAAGAAGAAAAAAGGTAAAGACAAAGCGGTAGGATCCGCTAAAATTACTAGTTTTTTCGGAAAATCCGAAAAATAGCTTGTATTTGTGCATTAGTTTATGAGATTACAGAATCTTGTTCATTTTTTTTTTTTTTTTTTCGAATAGCAGTATAGATAATTAGCATCCACCTCAATATGTTAATTTTCTATTATTTTGATGGGATAAAATTTTATGGTTACGCGAATTAGAGCGTTCAAATGGTTTGATTGCTGAAATAGACGTCGATTTATATTAAGAATTAAAAGCTAAATAAAATTTAATCTAATGTATTGTCAAATACATTAACGCAAACCCCCAAAAAATAAATGTAAAAAGCATTCTATTATCTTATTATCTACATTGCTATGACTAATATTAATAAAATTATTAAAACCACAATTAAAATCCCAATACACAATGTCGATCTTTTTTCTACATAAGGTTTTCATCGTTAGTCTGATGAATATACACAAATTAAAAGATTCGAATTTTGCTTTTTTTTCTTACCTTCATTTTGTTTAATGATCTGCGTTACCTTTTTCATCGCATTTTCTAATCTACCAGAAGTACGGTCTACACGCTCGCCAAATTCATCCAATAATCTAAGATGAAATAATTAATTAAAGCGAAAGAATCGTTTCGGAGAACGGAGTTCACTAAACTCACATATTTTGACTTTCGATTTCCGTTCCCATTGTGGTGACAATATCATGGATGTTACGCGCGGTTCCATATAACGATTCTAACTGCTCATCTTGTTCACGAATTAGAACCTTTGAAAAAACAATGCGTGAAATTCATTATCTTCATACATAATTAATAATTATAAATAATTAATACCGAGATTTGAAAATAAGCAATTACCGTTTGCTGAAGTGTTTCGTTATTTATGAATTTTGTATTATCCATTTCTATCACTTCTTCATACCTTGATTTTGATCGAATTTGATCGAAAGTATTAAATGATTGATGACCGTCCATTAGCTCCTAAAAATGTTTTACAAATTATTTACGCGAATATATATATAATAATTAATTACATTGAAGACTCGTACCTGAAGGTTCTTGATTTCAGAACCCTTCAATTTTTTAGGTGGATCTGCTAATGTCAGTCGAATATCCTATTGGAAGATACCGAAAACCATTTAACACATCAAAGATAAAGAAAACAAAACATAAAAATTTTTTGATACCTGCAATTGTTGTCTTGTCTGATCAACAAATTGCCGTCGAGACTCTATATCTTGTGTGGTTAATCCGAACTTATCTGGATTACTTTCTACAACTCGTATTTCCAAGGAGGACGATCATCAGTATTATGGAAAATAATGTTTATCTTTGATTAAATATAAAATTTACTAAGCATAATTATATCGTAAAATATTTAAAGGATATTAATTGTTTCTTCCACGTCATCCAAATCCGCGGAAACGTCGTTTAAAGTTGACCTCAATTCTTCTTCGGTTCTTTGTAATTCTTCATTGTTTATAGAAGCAACGGTGTTATAAATCCTATTCCAACTTTCGAAGAGGGTTGTCGCTGCAGATACATTCTGTTCTATTTCTCTATTTTTTGTTGGAGGGGTAATGGAATGTGTGAAAAAAACGAATTAGACTTAATTAATTTTTCAAAGGAGTTTTTTATAAAAAAACTTAATACGGTACTCTTTAACAACAAAAAATGGATCTTCATATGACATTTTTTGTAATGATTGTTGCCAAAAGTGATAAGACGGGATAGATATATGTATTTTAAAACATAAAGCCGAATCCAAAGAAAATCATTCGCATAAACGCATCCACATAAATAAATAACGTCATCGATGGGTCAGGTCACGTTTCTCGTCGATTTAATAAACCTTATATGTTCTGAACCAATCTTGAAGAATAGAAGTAATCGTGGCTGATAACCATAAACACTTCGACAATGAACTCTTCCATAATCGAGTAATGCTTTAGGTTGCTAAAGAGGACAATTGAAAACATGAGCAGATGCAGAAATGTACGTCGATATCGTAGTTGGCATTGGTGTATGACGCAACCAATCATATTCTAATATGAATTACTGAAAATCTGTTGAAAACCATCAAGTTTCTTGGTTACCCTCTCTTCCTTTTTTAATTAATCCGCAGTGTTGAATATTCTTTGAATTTTGAAAAGCAAACAATTCACACAAGATCAGAATGGATCCAAACACATTATTAGAAATTTCCTCTATCGACAATTCCTCTCCATCCTCCTATTCGGACGACGAACCCATGATCTATGTATTAATATTTTTCATGGTATTGACATTCTTCAGCGGACTTTGTTGGATGTTTTGCTGCGGTACCTGTGTTGGAAGAGATTTGCTACGATTTTGTAGATCCCGTTTGTTTTCTCCTTTAAATATTTTTGGGAAAAGGTATAGGGGAAATTATAATTACACACCCACGCCTAGGCAAGAAGAAGAATGGGAAATGTCTGAGGAAAGTGAATAATGAAGTCGTTTTTGGAAACAATGTCAGGACGTCTTTTATTTTAAAAATGCAAAGCTATGAATTTTCCGAATGTTTTAACGACGTTTTTAATAAAACATTATGGTCAATGCTTAGAACGAATTATTAATTATACAAATAAATATAAAAAAAAAAACATCAATTTTTGTAATTTATGCTTAATGGATTATAGTCCGAAGGACATTAACGGGTAGACATTATTATCGATAAATCATCACCAATATTTAATATTTCAAATGTCTCTTGTTTCAACAAAACTAGTTTCGATAACATTTTAAGTATTTTACGATAATACAATTCATTGTGGTATTAATTTAATCAATTGTTAATTTAAATAAAATTTTTACTATATACAGTACAGTATTTTAATAAAAATTGTTTTATTTATGGTTTTTTTTACAAATTAGAATATATATATATATATTTTTTCCATAGTCAAACAAGTATAGGGATGTTAAACGGTTATAAATAACTAGTTCAGTTTCTAACCTAACCGAATTGGTTAAACTGGCAGTCAATACCTAGTTCCACCAATAAAAATACCTGAAATTACCAGATGTAGATCACTTAAATACTATATGTAATTGACTTTGCGTTTTTATTAACATATTCTAATTTATAATCTAAAAGTGAAAAGGTAAAATATAATGACAAAAAGGTAAAATATAATGACGAAAAATAATATTCTATATTAACTATTTAATAAAATCATTCATTTTCTTCCTTTGTATATTCAAATAATCCTGTTGCAAACCAAGTTTTAAGACAAATGGTTGCATGAGCCTTTGTCGGGTTTAGACGATTTCTTGTTGGATTAACTGTGAACTTTGCTATACTAAACATTTGTTCACTTGCCACACTTGTCGCTTGAATCACAAGATAATCGCGTGCCATACAAGCAATTTGAACCCATCGAGAATTTGTGGATTTATTTTTCCAGTATGCAAGAACATCACCATCTTCAAGAGGCATGTTGAGATATTCATCAAGAGGATCATCATTACTTGTAAAAACTTTATGTGTTCTTTTAAGGCGGTTATGAATGAAATGGCGTTGAGACTTCGGCTTGGATAACTTTGTTATAGACCTATTATTCTTAGTTGTGTAATTCGTTTTGTAAGTTGTATAAATCATATTTCATGCTTCACATTTTTCTTCATCTTTAAATGATGCTAATTTGCTATTTGGATCAAGAATTACGGCTTCATGAAAAGCTGACTTAAGTTCTCTCCAATACTTATTTAATTTTTTTTCCATCTTATCTACAACCCGTTTTATTATCGTGTTATTTTCTTGTTGGGCTTCTTTTAATATATCCGCGATAACAACCAATACCATACGAAGATCACCGAGAGTAGGATGGCTTGATGCAGAGATAATACATGTTGCTTCAAAAATTGGCTCAAGTAATATAGTAAGCATCTGAAAAAAAAAAATTAATTAATAAAAAATTTTTATTAAGTTAAAAAAAAAAACAATTATATAAAAAATACTTACGTTTAGTTCTTTCCAATCCTCCTCATTTGGATAGATATCTTTTAATTCTTTATGTGATGCAATTAAAATTTTCGTTATATCACGAATTTTGTGCATTTTTTTTATCATTAAATAGGTCGAATTCCAATGAGTGCTAACATCAGTTTCAGGTACCAAAAAAGGACGTTTCTTCATTTTAAATATCTCTTTTAGATCTTCAAGTAAACATTGAGATGATCGTATAGTGATCGAAAACTCTCGGATTTTTTTAACTGGTACCTTAGCTTCTTTAAGACCATCCTTTACTATTAAATTCAAGATATGTGCAGCACACCTAATACGACGAAATATAGTATTATTATATTTTGTAGATAGTAACTGCGCAAACTTTTGCCCAAATGCATTCATATTGTAAGCATTATCAGTAGTAATTGCCATAATTTTTTTGCCGAGATTGAAGTCACTAATAATGGTATCAATAATGTTTGCCAAATTGGTACCTGTGTGTCTTTCATGAAGAGGTATTAAATCAAGTAGAATACGATGCATTTGCCAATTATCATCAATCCAGTGAAGAGTAATGGACATGTAGGCTTGATTTGTACATGCGGTCCAAATATCCGTGGTAAGTGCTACTTTACTGCTAAGATTATTAAAGTACGTTTTAAGAATATCACATTGCTTTTCGTATAGATTTTTTATCATTGTTAAAATCATTTGTCAACTTGGCAAATTATATTTATTATATTTAGATAGTGCTGCCACTAAAGCCTGAAATTTTTTATTTTCAACAACTGAAAATGGTTGCTGATCACATATGATCCACTGAATAAGCAAAGCATTGATTTTTGCAATTTCTTTTGGATGCATAACACTATTTTTTTCGGTTGACTTGAAAGAAAATACAGTTTGTTGTTTAATTTCTTTCCATTCATCTTGGTGGGTTATTGAAAAATGTGTTTTAATCGTACTAACTCCCATATTAGAACTGTATCGATTCTTGCATAAGTTACATAAAGCGAAAGATTTATCCTCACTCCATAAAAAATATTGTCAAATTGGATGACAAGGTCGGCTTTTTTTAATAGGTCGTATGGATTCTTCATTATCACTAATAAGTTCCATATTATTTTCGGCCATTAGATTTTTACATAATGATAAGGTAAAGATGTTCTTTTAAAGCTTATAACACAATTGTGCAAATCTCTCGAAATATTAAATTAATATCTTACATTTTTACATAGTAGTTAAAAAGAAATAATTGCCTAACAATTAGCGAAAGGATTAATAAGATTAGTGAATCTTATTGTTTGCAAAAATAGAATCTATTAATTAATTTACCTTTAAATTTAGATGCTATAAATTACGCAAGAAAAATTGAGGTAAAGTGCTTTGCAATATATATCCTTATAATAAAAATACTAATTCGAATATTGCAAATTTACTGACCTCCTACATTTTTTTTTTAATTTAGGTATTGCGAACTTATTGATCTTTTTTCTCGATGATACGATATTATAAAGATCAGTAATGGGTTATACTTATTTCAATTGGACAAAGGTCTTGATTAGACGCAGGTAAGTTACGATTGTATATAAAAATAATAAATGCATTAATGATAAGATATTATGTACGAAGAATGTAGTAACAAACTTACCTGATTATTATGTTTACTTTATTTACAGAGTCTAAGTACATATTTAACAAGAGTACAATAGAATTAAGCGTATCCTCCGGGTCATCTGTAGAAAGTGGTGAAGAAGGTAAAAATTAAAATTTATAAAACTTTGGAGAGAAAAAAAGGAAATGGGTATATGACAAGCAGTAGAATATGTTAAAATATTGGATTATTTATAGAAATTAATAACTATCATATATTTCTGTACATTTATGTTACAATCGATTAGATAAATCTACAGACATATATATAACATTTGAATTATCTAAACTGTCAATCTCTCCAATGAAATTTATATATAATAGTGGAGTTGTATCATCTAAAGATGAACAATAGACCCAAAATAAATCTGCCCAATATGACATCACCACATTATCTTGGTAGTTTTTATCTTATAACTATTTTAGATCCGAAAAATACAAAATGTTACATTAAAGATAATGATAAAGTTATACACCAATATTTTAACAAATTAGTCAAATTATTAAGTATTTCACTCTGTTAAAAAAAATTAATATATTGTACAATTTAATAACTAGTTATATTATAAATATGTCAACAACTACCACATAACGATAAAGTTTTACACCAAGATTTTAACAAATTAGTTAAATTATTAAGTATTTCACTTCGTTAAAAAAAATTAATATATCGTACAATTTAATAACTAGTTACATTATAAATATGTCAACAACTACCACATAATGATAAAGTTTTACACCAAGATTTTAACAAATTAGTCAAATTATTAAGTATTTCACTCTGTTAAAAAAAATTAATATATCGTACAATTTAATAACTAGTTACATTATAAATATGTCAACAACTACCACATCGAATATACCTTCTGGCAACAGTTTCTGTATAAAGACAAAAGTATACATTATGTGAACAAGATCTAATAAAACTAGAATAATTGTCACATATACAGTCAAGTGGTCTAAACCTAGTTGGTTCAAAGGTATTGAAAAAATGTAATGTTCCGGATTATATCGAATTTTTCATAAAGCATTAGAGACCATTAAAAAATGCTTGCATCGAAGGTCAAGCGCATTACTGGAAAAACCTTAATTAATATATCAAGAAATACATTGTGATTCATTCTTCGAAATTTAAAGATGATAATTAATTTGTATTATATATAAATTATGTGATAAACCACTAAACTGAACTGGTTTGACTGAACTATAACCATTAAAGTTTCAAACCAGTTACAACTAGTTTTTGTCGAACTACTTACATCCCTAATTGGAACAAAGTATTCATACAACTGCGGATTCAATTATTGGTTTACAATACATTGAAAGTCGATACAACAGACTGTTCGAAACTAGCACTTACTTTTATCTATTATGTTAACTAGTTTGTAAAACCAAGTGAACAGGTGAAATTTATGCGAGTAAGGCTTAAAGTCATAGTACTTTTGACTTAATTCATTAATTTGTTTCATCGATCTAGCAGGCATATCTATGGGAATTTATCTCCAGCAGTCAAGGTGAGTTATCATCTAAATCTGATTTTTTAGCACAAATAATCCTTATAGTACATTCAGATTATGTTCACGTTTTTCGCCACTATTATTTTCTATAAGGGACGTTATAAATGTATGCAATTTTATTTTATATCCCGTAAATTATAAATCCTTATTGTATGTTCATTCCGATTGGTGTAGGACTGGTGGCATTGAAAAAATAGCGACATACTTATTACAATTACACATCAGTCATAAAAGTAGCTTTATATACTGTATGTCGAAAAAACCTTTAATATCAAATTTTTATTTGGGCCTAACCAATCTTATCAGGTCTGCATATTCTGGCATGGAAACTGTGAAGATTACCATCGCGAGCTGACGTGCATATGATCGAAGCTATGATGAACAATCGCGCTTGCTTATATCTGAAAAAGGTAAGAAACCGCGATTTTAAAAAGAGGGCAAAATATTGTTTTTTCACTAACAATATAAAGTCAAATTAAAAGTAGGTGCTTTGGTTTTTCAAAGAAATTATGATGGCAATAGGTGATGCTTGCTTGATGAACTAATTTTGTGATGTTTCTTATTCGAGGTGTTGAATTAACTGATTTTTGGTGAGTGAATGAGATAATCTGCTGTTGCTTGTTTTTTTAAATTGTGGGGAATGACGTAGCGATGGGTTTATAGTGCTGTTATTAACGCAATTGCTATTAATCATGTCTAGCGATATCGTTCCTTATACCATACCAGTAGAATGTCATGTGGTTGTTTTACAGGAACCCTTGAAATTGAATCCAATATGAATAAATAAAGTTAGTCTCTACTATGTATATCATATTCCATATAGGTTCAAGTCCCAAAATCAGGCCAAAGCCTGACCTTCTGTCAAATATTTGAGCAAGATATTTCTGGCACCGTTCATGTCCCTATCCATCTCCACTTTGCACGAATCACATTTGAACATTTTTAATCTTCCGAGGTCATTCTTCACGAATCCACAACATCCACATGTCTTGGACATATATTTCTCGGTGCACTTAATAATCTTGTAAATTCAGAACTCTCTTGCTTTATGTTGTAAGAACATCTGGAACCTGAAATGCGACCAAGTCAGCATTGCACGAGCAGTCTTTGATTAAATCTTTCTCTTATTCTTTAAAACCATTCTCGAAGATTCGAATTTAAGTAACAAGATGATCTCGTAATTCGTGCACAATCATTTCACAAGCTGGTGTTGGCACTCATCTATTAAATGATAGATTTGTTGTATAACTTGTAACATTTTTTTTTAATCTAAATCTTTTTCTCTTGTTTGTTTGCCCTAACACAAGATCCTTGTTACTCTGTAATTTGTCATATTTCTTGGATAGTTTGAATATTTAGTTGAGATCACCATTACCCTACTCGATTAATTGATTGTTAGGATCGTAACCGGTCATAAACATGTGAACATCTGGATTGAGTGAGATTACCTTTCCTTGAACATTATCTTGGTTATCGATAATGTCTAGAGGAATGAAAACACACAAGTAAAAATGTTTTAGGTGATTCATAGTAATGTTCACTATGTTATTAATCTTTAGTGATTGTCCTGAAGTGATGATATCCTTTATAAATGCATATTCTTCTCTGTTCCTATTTCAATCTCTAACAAGAATCGAGATGGTTTGTATTCAATCCTTCTTTGATCAGTACTTCATTCAAAAATTATTTTCATGCAACTTCTTGTTTGTTTTATATGCATTCATTAATTGTCTGATCACATATGAATGTACTTCCCTAGGAGTCTTTTTTACTCATAAAAGTTCTTTAGTTGTGAAATATTCATTGTTTAAATAATACCTTTATATAACACTCATGTTAGTAATACCATCTTAAGTACTTTATTGTATGTCCACCTTGCAGCTTCCATCCACTTTCTTAGCTTTTCTCTTTCTTCGGGCATTGGATAAATATGTATCTTTCATGTTTTCAATCTCTTTTTGTCATTTTTGACTTTCAGCTGATCTGAGTCCATTATGTCTTGCTGTAAAGATAGTAATGATTGATAATAAATCCTTAGCAAGCTCATTGGATTTAATATCATCAATATTGATATCCAAACTGAGTACCACAATTTTTGTATTGTGTTTACTAAAGAAACGGTCCTTATAAGTAATCACAATCTTCTCGATCTCTTTAATATGATCATTTCAAAATAGATGTAAAACCTTTATGTTACCAGTTGAGATTTGATCTGATGTTTTTAATAAGTACGTGATCTGGACTAGGGCTCTGAAAAGTATCAAACTGGTATTAAAATTAAAATGGTACCAATCTATAGTAAATTTAATATATGGATTATGACCTACTCATATAATTTTATAGTAAACTTAAGTATCGAATTGGTATCAAAGTGGTATTAAAATAGTATTATTAGAAGCCCTAATCTGGACATTTTTGCTTGAAGTACTTGTATTGTCTGTCGAAATCTTTTTTTTGCTTTTCTAAACTGATTCATATATAATAAATTTTTTTCTTTTCATTGATTTTTTCTTAGTTTCCAAATATCTTCTCTATATCCACTATAAAATACAACCTGTTGTTATCAGGTATTCTAATACTCGATATCATCTTGGTTATTTCACTTTCTCAATGTTTCGGATGAAATTTTATATGTTTTTTGAATTTCTTGTGCTCTTCGATACTTTATCATTGACATTATTTTGCTCAAATATGTGAAGCAGATTTATTTATATGGATAATTATTTTTGAAAGTGATGAAAATAATAGATATGTTTTTTTTAGCACCTACTTTAAACAATACATATACAATATAATTTAAGGAGCATAATTATAAAATCTGAAAAATTCCTGTCCACCTTCAAAAATAATTACTCATATTTGAATTCAAATTCAGGAATATTCAAATTATTCAAGTTGATTCAGCTCAAACTGCATAGTACCCTTTGTTATAGATACTTAGATAATTGTTTTTGAAGGCAGACAAGGATTTTCTATAATTGTAATTTTAAAATTTGTACTATATATGTATTGTTAAAGATAAGTGTTGAAAAATCAAACTTCCTATCTGCCTTCGAAAATAATTAAACATATTTGACAAAAGAATATTGAATTATTATTGATATTCTTTATCATTGATGATCAAAATAATATAAGATACTTATTATAATTAAAAATAATAATCAATAAAATAAATAGCAAATAGAGATTTAATTATTAATATTGTATTGTTTACCAACCATAATACAGTATATACTTTCCAAGTAAATTTTAATAAAGGGTAGATATATGGTAGCAAGTCATGTGATAAAGTTTCCTAGCAAGTTTTTCTAGTAAGCATATACCTTTTTTATGGTTGTAGTTTTAATAAAGATTAAATAAGGCCTGTATCAGTTAAGAATATATATATACTGTATATATATTTATTCTATTAAATATTAATTTATAATTTATAAAATATTTTAAATAAATTAATAATATTTTCAACTTGGTTTGATTTTATTAAATTTAATCAAAAATATTTCTGTTATTTTTATAGTTTCAAAATATTATTTATTTCTACAATCTACTTATATGAATGAATTTATTTGAACGAAATTATTTTTATTAAAAAAAAAAAAGTTTTTTAATAATATGTTATATAAATATATAACATAAGTTATAATTTAGATTTATTAAAATAACAATTAATTAATTATTTTCTATACAAATTAACATTAATTAATTTGTAAAAATCTTATTGTATATGGTATATGCAAAATAATTTAAAATCTATTTTTTATTTATAACTAAACAAAAACAATAAAAAATTGTATTTATATGTTTATATTATAAAATACAAATTTTAATTTTTAAATAAATTAAATGTGATATAATAAATTAAAATAATATCTTTGTATTTTTAAAAATATCAATTAATTTTTTTTAAGAATCTGAATTAAATTTTGATTTTACATTAATCACAAAATAATAATATTTAACAATTACTAAAATTATTTCAATATCTCGATTACTTAAATATTAAATATATGGAATTTAAATAATTCTTGTTATTTTTTTTAAAATAGAATTTATTATTTTCAAATGATACTATTTAATAATAAATATTATATTGATAATTTATAACTACTTAATATAAAAAGATATTGGTTCGAATCAATATACGGTATATACAGTATATTTATATTTATTATTGTAGATATATAGTATATACAGTATATATATTGAAATGATCTTAACAATCGATTATTGTAAGTAATGAAAATTGGATTTTTTAAGATTGGTATCTTTTTTTTTTTTATTATAATTTGATGATATTGTTTTTGGACCAGACGTATATAATAAATTTTCTAGTTTTTTTTTTATTATTAATTAAAAGAGAAAAAATAAATAAATACGTAATAGTAATATGGTATACTTCAGTATTGTATAATATTTATAAATAAAATAAGGTTTTTCTAATGAATTAATCTTATTACTCTAGTTTTGGATTCGTGCGAAAAAGTGTATAAAAGAACTTCCTATTAAGGCGAAAGTTTATAGAAAAAAACCGGTTATTATTGTAAACCAATTTAAGGTCCAAAAAATGTTCGTATAGGAATGACTGAGGGAATGAAAATGATCGTGTGACGAATGAATACAAGATACAAATGTTAATAGCAGACTTCTTGGGAAATACTGTACATATTTGTTTAGTCAACAGACTTTAAAAAGAATTTCATTGCTAAAATAAAAATTCAGTTTCGTATATCTGATAATAAAGTTACACCGGAAATGTCGTCAGAAATCGGTGTTACGTTCAAATTACTCGTCGAGATTCGTAAATTTGTATAATCGACGCCGTAAATAGAGAACGAACCCAACACATTAGATATGATGACGCCAGAATCCCCGACTATAGGTAAGGTAGCGGTATCGGAAGAAAGTCTCTCGGGATAACCGTCGAAAATTACCTCCGGGCTTGAATAAGGTAAGTTATAGTTAACACTCGAATCTATTATCTCGCAACAACTTTCAAAGGAGAGGTTAGAACTTGGATAGGTGGAACGTTTTTCAAGCTCATAACATTCGGGAAAATTTTCTTTGGTAGCATTGAATTTCGAGGTTTGAGGTAGGTTATCGTAAGTTTCCTTCGAATTTTTTGTAGGGGGTGATTGAGAAAGATTTGCTAAAATGGAGCTTCCGATCATTTGGGTGGGTTTCTGAAATGACACAATGTTCCACTTTTTACGTTTTTTACGACGAATAGATTGCGGGAAAATTTCCGAGTGATGTTTATTCGCGTCCCGTGCAATACTTTTATAAAGACTTATTACGTGAGGGGGTTCTTGTTCCCATAATTTTGAAGCCATGGTAGAAATCACTGTCATTGGTAGGTAATAACCTCTTGCTCGAGCAGTTTCAACACATGCTCTTCGATAAATGATGAAAGCATTTGGTGCTCTTGTTGGTGCTTTTTCCCCATCAGACCTTTTCGCGATCAAATCTTTGGGATCGATCAATGGTGGGAATGGTGGTTTAAAAGAATAACTTTCGTTACCATGAATGATCTGATTCGGACATAGAGGATCACTGGAATCTATGAAGACACGTTCTCGTGGGTTTACTTTCATGGTCGTCTGCTTTGTATGGGAATTGCCATGAATCTATGTATATTTATGGAATCGTGGCAAAAATCCGAGTAACTCAAATTAATGAGTCCTTCTTGATTGCATCTTTGAATGTATTTGATTATATTCCCAAGAAAGCCCGATTAGGGGATCTAAGAATTCTTGTGCGATGTTTTGTTTGCACTTGATGTTAAGGTCATTTCGCGTTTAATAGCAGCATTACTGATTGAGAAGTAAGGCTTAAATGGCAATTACTGACAATACACCTGATAAATCGACTGCATATTTCGCACCCCGCAGTGATCCCTTTTTGACACACTGTTTTCATTTGACGCGTTATGTGAAAGAAGATCGTGACCACTTAAGTAATAAAAAGAATTGTCTCAAAGAGAGTTTGTTTCTTCAAATGCAATACTTTCTCAAGTTGTTGCTCACATGAGTTAATCACGGAAACAAAAATAGCACTTGATGCATTGCAAATTAGATGTAACGACTAATGACAAAACAAATATTCACATTGCACGATTTGTATGATTTGTATGATTTGTATGATTTGTATTAAAAAAAACAAATGCCGGACCGTGGCCATAAAATAACCGGACCAATAAAATATATTGTTCGATAGACCAATTATTTAATCATTTTTGCGCGACAAGGTGTTAACAAATGGATTCTATTCTAACACCTGAATAAAGAAACCCTTTAGATAACACAAATACATACGTTCGATCAGATTTAGACTTTTATACATTCTTTTATGTTCCTTTTTTGACTCACAATAATTTTTCAAATCATCTTTAAGACCAATGATAATTATAGGTAGAATGGCGCAGCAATGAGATGATCACCATATGACATCATTTCCAACGCAGGTAATTTAGGCAATTTATATGTAGTGTAAATTCCCAAATAAATGATGTAATTAATTAATATAACGCCATGGTAACGCATGCTATTTTCATTTTTATTAAAATTTGCCAATTTTTCTGTCCCCCAAAGCCTGACGGTTCTTGTTTTTAAGAAAATTACAAGGAAAAAACGAGAATAAAGTGCTTAACATACTGAACGTATAAATGCATATGCTATATATATAATTTTTCTTATAGTGGACACATGTTCCAAACCATACAAGGTAGCTTAATTGTTTGTTGGGAAAATCGACTGTATGTGAAATTCTAATATCAATATTTGGTTACATCAGGGGAAAAGTTATGAATGATGTTAAACATGTCAATATTTTGCTCAATGTTGGGTTCCATCTGATTGTTAACAGTATAACCGACTGGCTGTTCGTAACTAGAGTCATAATTAATATTTTGATTTTGTTCGATATTAGGTTCCACTAAATTGTGAATCGGGTACATAATCAAAGTTCCGTGATTTAAATAATAAGGAGCGTTGAACATATTAACGTGTGATACATTGTGCGAGTTTGAAATGTGATGGATCTCACCATGAAACTCGAGAGATGGTGGATTATAAAAACTTGGAATTTCAGAAGGATAATTGTAATAATCTAAACCGCTTAGATTGTGTGTGTCGTCTGGACATGTCGTATTAGTGACACAATCACGTGGTCTCCGATGGACACGAATGACATCAACTTTATCCATCCGAGTATCTCTTTGGATCGAGTCTAGTTCATATTCTCTGTGGATTTTTTTGACCTTGAGGGCCAAGCTCCGATATTCACGTTGAACATACTCGGGTTCAAGCTTCCACAATTTTGATGCCAATTTCGAAATATCCCTCATGTTATATTCGTAATAACCTTTCTTAAAGAGTGTTTTAATTAACGCTGTTCTGTACAATAAAAATGGATTCGTGGTCCTAAGAGGTAATTTTCCTTTTTTGATTTTTGGTAAAAGGTCTTGATCGAGGAGTGGCGGGGGGAATGGAATTTTGATTTCAGAAAGAATGCCGGGAAGCGTTTCCTGAAAGATTTTTTCTCTATCGATTCTTTCTTGGGCGACTTGAGGAATTTTTTCTTTGGAAATTCTTGCTTGAAAATTCATTTTTTTTTTTTTTTATTATTTTTATGTTTTTTTCTTTCTGCCAAATTTCAAGCACCGTCCGCTCCCTATTTCATATTCTGTTCTTATAGAATTTGAAAATGTGCGTAACACTCGTTCCCATATATCTTCCGTATGACTTGACTAACTGAAAAGTAAATTATTCCTGGAAATCTTTTGTAAAACATATCACATAAATCTAAAAAACATAACGCTTTCACGATCTCTGCATCCACCACTCGGAAATAATTATCTAGGTTAAAGGTGAAAATTTAGATTTCTTATGTAATAATAGACAGCCCGTTCGAATATGATGACATTGTCTCTAGGTTGTTGACGCATAAATTCGTAAGGATTTGCCAAATGTTGTTATTAAAATTGAGTTTGCAGGTAAGTGAACCATATCAGATATGATTTCCGAAAAATCTTCGGATCCCGATCTTGTATTTGCTTTTCACATTAATTTCTTTCGCATTACTTCTTATTTCATAATTTATGTATCACCATTTGTTTGACAAATATATGCTTGTGCAAAGTCGGTAGCACCAATAAGAAATTTGGAATTCTGGAACATGTGAACGGGTCGTACTACCAATTTACGGTTATACACCATTGTAACGTGGAATTGAATTTTATTGGAGAACCATTAACTTCGACGTTCACTGATTACAAGAAGCTCGCATGATCAATTAATGTAAAAGGACTCATAATTAATGCCGAAAACAAATGCTTTACCAATAATCTCTATTACACCCTTAGACTGTTCAAACCATTCCTCGTTCGTCCAACCCTCAACTATTCCCAATTTTTTCAACCCTCCAATCTCGGTTGCATAATCCACAATTACGCGCATCAACCTTGAATCCATCTCATTATATATGTCCAACTTCTCCAGGGGATTCTTTATGTTACAGAGAATCTTACTTAACGAATGCGGGAGATCAAAGATGGTTCTCTTATACGGAGGAATTCCGAAATAAACCGCCAAATACTTCAGTCTCGACGGAAAAGATTTGGCCAATTTTTCCAGGGATTCATCTGACGGAAGAACCGGATCATTGGTATAACCGATGGAGCCTTCGATATGCGCGAACACGAGATGTAAGTAATCAAGTGAGGTTAAGAAAGGTAGAGTGGAATAGAGCGAGCAGAATTCATTAAAGGTGATGGTCAACGATAAAAATCTAATCTGAGGACAATATTGGCCTATATTGCTAATGATGTTGGAATCGGAGAATTGTAACATGATGGTGTTTAAATGTTTACTTGATAATTGGATAAGTGTTTGTATCATCAGTGTGAAATCTGAAATTTTGGGAAACAAAATATTGTAGGCTTTTAAGTGCTTGATATGAATGGGCGGTAAGTAATTGATGGAATCAAACATTTCTTGAGCATTCGGTATGCTAAAATGTTCGGTTAAGAATAATGTTTCTAAATTTGGACAATTACTTAGGAGACTTAACAAGGCCTGTAAATTTCGAAACTCGGACAATTCCAAGGTCTTCAGTGACTCGGATTGTGTCTGAATTGCCTTGTAGATCAAAGGTGTAGCTGCATCCACCCATCTTTCAGCCAACTTCAAGGAACAGAGATTTTTTTGGATAGACACTAAACTCGATATTGCCTGGTAAAGTAGTTCATCAATTATGTAATGGGTATCAATGATTATTTGTCTAATCTGTGTTGCATAACGGGTGATTATGAATATTTCTAATGAGAAGTCAATGTCCTGTGCATTTTTTGTCTTGATCTTTAGCTCCCGGAGGTGACCCAGACTACTCTCTATTCCGGTATAGGTGGAAATGTTCATTATACTTTCGATGCTGTATTCAACATCATAGTTTAGGATTAAGGTTTTTATGCCACGTGATATGCCAAATAAATGGTTCCCAATGATGTTTCCCATGAAGCCAATAAAGTAAGATCTATTTAGTTTGTTAAATTTATTATAAGCATTCATCCATTGATAGATTGTCATCTGAAAGTGTCCGGTATCCAACCCCTGAATGTATTTTGGATATTCGAATAAAGGTTCGGGTAAATTTGCTGGCAATTTGATTCCCTCTTTGATCAATTGTTGTCTATCCACCTCGGGTAGAGAAGATAATAATACTTGGATGATAGTGTGTGATTTACTGTGAGTGGGCTTCACCCTAAAAGGGTGAAGCCATAGCAAAGGTATCGATAGTTTACAAAATAGACGAGTGGAAAGGATACATGAATAAAGTGTGTTTCGATCTTCTGTAAGATACCCTAAGATTTCCTCGAGGCAATCTAAAGGCAACGAAGGTGGTGTCGTGTGGATGCAGTTGGTCATTATTATTTTTATTTTTAAGTAAAGGTAGCGGTGAAAAGAAATAAAAGTTGAAATGATCTCTGTATATCTCTATATAAAGTAATAAAATGTAGTGTGTTCAACGTTTCACTGTGAATAAGTTATCAAAACTAGAAATTACATGAGATAAATTATATTGATTGCCATGCATGCATTCTCCGATAAAAATTCCGCATCACTTTTCATAGAAAATATTCACCTTAGGAGTCGGCAGGTTTTGGCTTCGATGATATCACGAGGTAATTGTTTGAAGCTCTCTATCGATAGTAGAAAAAGAAGTGAAAGATGAATAATTGTTATACCATGTTCCGAAGAGACAAACTCAATTCTTCGGTGCGTGAATTTATTTCTTTTCTGCTATCCCAGGTACCTTGTGAAAACGATGAGATTTGGCGGTCTGTCGTTGATAGCAACGTGAATGTATGGTTTCAAGTATGAAACCTACGATCATTACAAATCAATATGGAAAATCAACATGATTGATGAAAAAATATCTATAAATCACATGCCCTTACAAAATAATTAAATGTTTATTGATATTATTTTTATTTACATCAATAAAAATTCTATTTGTTTTAAAATAATTAAATTTTTTGCAATTATAAAATATAAAAAATTTTTATATATAAGTTTTATTTTATTTATTTTTTTACCATATATAAATTATTTGGTTAATAATAAATAATGGTTTTGAATTTTGTTTACTTAGATCTATTGTCTGTTTATAATTAATTGACATGATCTATATCTGAATAATTAATTTTGAAGATAATCCAAAAATTTTCAAGATACAAATTTATTATTCCTTAATTAAAAGTTATATGTTGTTGATAAAAATTTTATTATTTAATATATTTTATCATTATTTTTTATTTTATATATATTGTATATGTTTAAAATATTATATTATTATTTATCTTAAAATTTTTTAAAACAACTATATAGTTTCAAACAGTAAAACTACTTTAAATTGTTGAAATTTAAAATTCAAATTGTAAAGCTTTTTTATAATTCTAAATAACTAAGTATTTATAAAAAGATTAAAAAAATGTTAAAAGTTTAAAAATAATTAATATAATAACATTTAAATGTTTTTTTATTTCTTATTATAAATAAAAATTCTTTTTGATAATTATTTAAATATAACAAAAATAATTCTTTAATTAATTATTTATATAAATAAATAAATTATATATATATAATTAAAGTAAAAGTAATTTATAATTAATTAAAATATTGTAAAAAATTAAAAAAAAACAACTAGAACTATAATATTAAAATATTAAATTCTTATATTATTTTATAAAGTTTTGAAAATTTTTCTAATAAAATTATTATTATTCTATATTTTTCTTTTGTATTTTTATATTTTTTAAAAAAATTCAATTATTGTATATTGTTATATTTTGATTTTAATATTAAAGCAAATTTATAAATTCATTGAAAAAATAATATTTAATTATTTATATTAATTTATTTAATATTATCTGAAATAAAACATATATTAATAAATTAGATTATTAAAAATTAAAAATTATTTTATTAATAATTTTGAAATCTGATAAATAAAACTGAAGTTTTAATATATTGTAAATTTTTATCTGTTTTAATTATTTTTTTTTTTTTTTTTTTTTGGGGGGTTTCCCCTCATAGGTAAGCATCATTTCTTTATTTGATATTGTATATAACAT